TAAATAAAAGCAATAAATGTATGTACTCTAATTCAGCCTTTCTCAACCAGGGTGCCTTGAAGTTTCTTCAGGGGTGCCTTGGCAAAATGTTTAAGACCTCATGCACACTGGACGTTTTGATAACGCTGGTAACTTTAGCTGTGTAAAGTCACATTACAAACGTGAGTTTTTCAGCTTTTTTAGCGTTTTTGCATTAGCGTTTAACCACATTTTTCCATGTTTGCGTTTTTAGCATTTTTTTACCAAAAAAAATTTTTTTGGTCAAAAAACACCCAAAAACATTAGTTTGTGTCGTTTTATCATGTTTTACAGCGTTTTTTCAGCATTAGAGCGTTTTTACAGCTAAAAAAATCCTCTAGAAACCCACTAGTCCTGGGTTTTTTTTTTCCAGCCAAAAAAAGTCCCTGCCAAAAACATTGATTACAGTCTATGTGTGCATGGACATATAGGATAACATGCTTGCGGGTTTACTAGCTGTAGAAGAAAACGTCAAAAGCCAAAAACAGCAGCTGTAAAAACATCCAGTGTGCATGAGGACTGAAAGTTGCACAAAACTTGTATACAAGCCAGTGGGTGGAACAAGCCTTCCTTTTAGTTACACAAAGCCACAGATTTTCATTGTGTGCCATTACGACCTTCTAGCCACCGGCATCCTGACACCCAATGACATCACCTTTTTTTGTCCATGGAGGTGCAAAAAACAAAAACCAGTAAGTGAACAAAGTGCAAAATGCAAAACACAAACACAAAAAAGTGCACTTAGGGGTGTGCTTGAGTCCACCACCCGAAGAGGTAGGACCTCTACCCTGATCCCCTGGGGCACAAGGCTTCTGACAGGGACAAAGGTATCCACATGGTTCACCTAGCCAAAAGGCCTGGTGGCCCCCCTTCCTTGTGGCTAGCCAAAGCTGAACACTAAGTACTAGGTCAGGGAGCTCTCCCAAAGAGAGTCGCCCCCCCCCAGGAACAGGGGAGGAAGGAACCTAATGACCATGCATCCTACCCCTAGACTTCAGGGCAGGCCCGAGGACCCACACCATCCATCCTAGTGAGAAAAAACACACACGCAAAAGTGAAGAGTGACAAAACGGTGGAAGAAAAAAAAATGTAAATAAGTGGCCCTGCAATTGTGCACAGGCTAGGCCCTGAGGCCCGTGGCAAAAAAATTTGCCCTGGACTTAGCCAAAAGGCCTAGCCCTAAAAGGCGCAGTGCAGAAAAAGTGGTTAGAGCAGTGACCATGTGCACTTTTCACACTTGGGATCCCATTCCCATGTGTTACTAATAGCAGCCCTGAGGCGATCACACTCACGGGGCACTGCTCCGCAGACTCTTTGCCTCCCTGGCCCCTGGCCAGACAAGGTAGACCCATTCAAATTAGGAGGAACTGGGCCCCCCCAGTTTTCTTGGGAGAGTTACTCCCAAGTCCCAACAGCCTGTGGGTGCCCCGGTTTCTCTTCTAGCCGGTACTAACCTCCAGAGCTGCCATCTTACCAGCAGGGGTACTATACAACCAGTCATCCTCGCCTAGGCTCCCGGTCACATCAAAGTCGATTTTGAAAACGTGCGACTTACAGTAAAAAAATCGGGTGACCTGCCAATTTCAGTTGTGATTTGCAAGACAGCTGACACAGATGTCTATGCAAATCGCAACAAAAGTGTTGCATACACTACTTTAGAAATCGGCGCGGCTCTGACCAAGTCGGAACCACACCAATATGACTCTAATAGCAGACAATAGGGTGCGACTTGGCATGCGATTTGCAAGTCGCAAGGCATACAAAGCGCATGCCAAGTCGCACCCGATGTGACCGGGGTGTAAAAGCAAGGATGACGGCGGAGCACCCCTACTGGACACTGATAAGAACAGATACTATGGGCAGCACAGTGGCTAAATGGTTAGCACTTCCACTTGGCAGTACTAGGGTCGCCGACCACGGCGCCACCTGCCTGGAGTTTGCATGTTCTCTCTGTGCCTGCGTGGGTTTCCTCTGGGTACTCCAGTTTCCTCCCACTCTCCAAAGACATGCTGGTAGGTTAATTGGCCCTAATATGTGTATGTATGGATGTGAGTTAGGGACCTTAGATTGTGCACTCCTTGAAGGTTAGGGACTGATGTGAATGTACAATATATATGTAAATTGACAGCACTATATAAGACCTGAAATAAAATAAATAAAAATAAAATACTACGCTTGATCTTAGCTAAAAGGTCACGAAGCGATGACAATGACATCATCAGTTGATAAGGAGGAGGCCAGTTGTCTGCACAGCATCCTAGTTTGCCCCTCCCCTGCCCCTCTCTGTTAGCACTGGGGTCACATTAGATAAGTGATGGAGAAAAACTGAGGGGGAAGAGAAACATTGGAATACTAGTCAGTACCAGTGTGCAAAAGTGTATTTGCTTTCGAAAAATAAATCATCTCTAATGTTGGGTGTCCTACATGTGTGGATATTGCTGCGTTAAATAAAACTGTTAGAATCTTTTTTCACATTTTAGAATGGGGTGCTCTTTTAAAATTATGGGCAGTCTAGATGGACCCCATTTTAGAATAGGTTACCTCAAGACTGTCCATAATTGTAAAAGGTGCCTTGACTGAAAAAAGGTTGAGAAACATTGCTCTAATTTGTATCTTTCCATTTCAGCTCAGTTTTACAAATAATGTCTCTTTAATCCAAGAGGATTGCCCCCTGAATAATACATTTACATATTCACTCTGATTGGCTTCCTGATGATCACCTGATCTAATACTATTCAACTCCATGTGAAGACGGAAGTGCTGCTGGCTGGATGCTGTGAATTTTCTCTAGGCTGGTGGGTGGATTTGTCAGTGTGGGTGTCGTTGTGTCCTGCTGCCTCTGGTGTCACTAATAACTGATCATGTTGATGTGATGAGCTGTACATGTGTACAAATGTCAGTGTGCATTGTTCTCTTTGCTGTGTTGATGAACTGCACACAGTGTGGTGTCCTTTGTAACCTGTGTTAGAATGACTATACAAATCGCAGTATATCTTTCCAGATAAATCAGGTCAGAATTTACAGGATATGGCTAGGCAGTATACTGGAGCCTATGACCCTCATGTAACTACATCACTTCTGCTCAAAGTCCAGTCATGTGATCATCAGAACTTGTGCATTTCCTGGAAATGACTCCCCCAGCTCACCATGTAAGTTTTCAGCTTCAGTTGTTTGATTCAGTGCAGTGTCTGTTGTCTTACATGAGGGCTGAACGGCCACATTTGTATACCACAAATCCAGGCTTGGAGGGGTGTACAGGAGCAGTCAGCGCTTAAAGCAACCCTACCAGTAACTGCAGGAAAGAAAACCGCACCTAGCCTGTAAGAGGACGAGATGTAGGCTTTATATTTGTCCAGAGGGCCATGTCTTGGGGCCAGTTCACACTACGTGTGTTTCAGTGTGCTTTTGTCTTGCATCTAAAATGCACAGACGGTATATGGTCAATGTCATAGTTCACAACAGTGCTTGCAGTACCAGTTGCAGAAAAAAAAGTAGAACAGGCTGCATTTTCCTGCACAGAACTGTACTGCAATGCGGTAAAACGCACTGGAATGCACCAAAAACGCACTGGAACACACATGTTCCTATTTAAACTGAAGAAAAATAGGGGAACAAATGAACTAGAAGGCATCAAAAACACACTGGAAAGCACATGTCCCTAATTTAATTTGAAAAGAGAGAAAAATTAAATGGAAGGCATCAAAAATGCACTGGAAAGCACGTCCCTATTTAAACTGAAGAAAAAGAGGAGAAAAAAATTAAGTGGAACGTATCAAAAACACACCGGAACGCGTCAAAAACACACATGCAGAAACGCATCTGGACTGCGTTTCTCTAGCGTAAACCGGCAGTCCACATGCGTTTTCACATGCTTGTTTTTGACGCATTCCAGTGCATTTTTTTATGCATTCCAGTTCATTTTTTCCCCCTTTTTTCTTCAATTTAAATATTGACATTTGCTTTTTAGTGCGTTTTTGGCTCGTTCCTGTGCGGTTTTGATGCGTTTTACCATGTTCCAGTACAGTTCTCTACAGAAAAGATGTAGCATATTCTACTTTTTTTTTTTTTTTCTGCAACCGGAACACACTGGAACTGCAAGCACTGATGTGAGCTATGACATTGACAACCATATAACTTGCTTTCATTGAGTTTTGGGTACAAAAAAATAGCAACTGAAATGTGTGAACTGTGTGAACTGCCCCTAAAGTGTTACTAAACCCAGGGCCCTGCATTACTATATCTGGTCTCCCACAGTACACAGAACATGGAAATGCAATTATTTTAGTAAATATAAACTGTTAAATACCTTTTCTTAGCAGTATATAGCAGTCAGTGTCCAGCCGATCACTGGTTAATCTTGTAGGAGTTTTCAATCTCCTCTGAGTGTCCTATGAGGCTGCCTCTGTATAATGCTGATTGACCCTGTGCCAATCACATTCACCCTCCCCCTGCTGAGTGCCTCTAGAGCAAGCTCCTTGCCCTCATGCGTGCTCGGTCCAGAGGCGTCCGTGAATGTTCTGCACCCTGCTCTCTCCTCACTGGCTGTGATTGACTATGTGTCTCAGCCAACGAGGAGAGGGAGAGCTTAGTCTCTCGTGCACATTGCTAGATTTTAGAATGTATGAGAATTTTCAGCCTTTAGAACCACTTTAAAAGTCCACATTTTGCAAAAAAATGCACCCACATTTGCAGGAAAAAAAATTGTTTACTTTTTATGGTGAATGAGCCTCCAAAGTATTGTAAGCATGATCAGTCGATTGTGGGTGCAATGTACAGGAGAGTCGGAGGAAGTGGCATTGTACAACCAGTGTGGCAATTGCTGCACTTGTGTTCCATTGATAACAGCAAATCAGTCTACTTCATTGGCAGGTACTGTATTTTTCTTTCCATAAGACACACTTTTTTCCCCCAAAAAAATGGGGGGGGGATGTCTGTGCGTCTTATGGAGCGGCCGGCCCGGTATTCCCGCCGCCATGTTGGAATACCAGGCCGGCTGCTCGGCTCTTCTGTGCAGCAGAACCTGCTCCTCGGTCCTACCTGTTTCTCTGTGCAGTGGTGTCCTCACTGTCTTCTCTCCCTGGCGCCGGCATCTTTAGTGTGGGCACCCGGCTGTGACAGCTTGAGGCTTCACAGCCGGGTGACCACTGCGCGTGCCGAGAAGTGCTGCACTTTGGGAATGGTCTGGCAGTCTTCTGGGACCTGTCACGTGTCCCAGAAGACGGGGAGGGAGGACAACTCTGTGGAAGTGGAAGCAGGTACTTGTCCAATTTGGGTACCCATTCTCCCCCTCTTCCGCTCCCCAAAAGGTCTGCAGTCTCTGGTCATCTCCTGTACTGTGTCCGCAGTCTCTGGTCATCTCCTGTACTGTGTCCGCGGTCTCTGGTCATCTCCTGTACTGTGTCCGCAGTCTGTGGTCATCTCCTGTACTATGTCCGCAGTCTCTGGTCATCTCCTGTACTGTGTCCGCGGTCTCTGGTCATCCCCTGTACTGTGTCCAAGGTCTCTGGTCATCCCCTGTACTGTGTCCGCGGTCTCTGGTCATCTCCTGTACTGTGTCCGCGGCCTCTGGTCACCTCCTGTACTGTGTCCGCGGTCTCTGGTCACCTCCTGTACTGTGTCCGCGGTCTCTGGTCACCTCCTGTACTGTGTCCGCGGTCTCTGGTCACCTCCTGTACTGTGTCCGCGGTCTCTGGTCACCTCCTGTGTCCGCGGTCTCTGGTCACCTCCTGTACTGTGTCCGCGGGTCTCCTGGTGTCCGCCTCCTGTACTGTGTCCGCGGTCTCTGGTCACCTCCTGTACTGTGTCCGCGGTCTCTGGTCACCTCCTGTACTGTGACCGCGTGTCCGCGGCCTCTGGTCACCTCCTGTAGCGTGTCCGCGGCGGCTCTGGTCATCTCCTGTAGCGTGTCCGCGGCCTCTGGTCATCTCCCTGTAGCGTGTCCGCGGCCTCTGGTCATCTCCTGTAGCGTGTCCGCGGCCTCTGTGTCCGCGGCCTCTGGTCATCTCCTGTAGCGTGTCCGCGGCCTCTGGTCATCTCCTGTAGCGTGTCCGCGGCCTCTGGTCATCTCCTGTAGCGTGTGTCCGCGGCCTCTGGTCATCTCCTGTATCTCCTGTAGTGTCCGCGGCCTCTGGTCATCTCCTGTAGCGTGTCCGCGGTCTCTGGTCATCTCCTGTAGCGTGTCCGCGGTCTCTGGTCATCTCCTGTAGCGTGTCCGCGGTCCTCTCTGTCATCTCCTGTAGCGTGTCCGCGGTCTCTGGTCATCTCCTGTAGCGTGTCCGCGGCCTCTGGTCATCTCCTGTAGTATATCTGCAGTCCATTGGCTCAGAGTTTTTTTTCTTGTTTTCCTCCTTTAAAACCTAGGTGCGTCTTATGGAGCGAAAACTACGATAATTTATTAATTCATAGATCTCTTTGAATAAATTACATGGCTGTGCGGGCTCTGCTGCACAAAACCAAAAATTGACAGTTGGTGTCAGGTAGACGAACCTTCCATGCTGTCAGGGAAGGAGAGATCATCTGGGCCCCGTGTTATATGTTACACCCTAATTATGGATGTAGCATACTGTAAAAGTATGCACTCTGTTTCCATTGCCTGTGTAATTGTGGGTTGACATCATTTCCCAACAATACTGCGACTAGGTTTTTTAGGTTTGCATATAGTGGAGAGGGATTGAAACACCTGAGTTTTTTTTTGCTGTCTGTCCCCCATTACCCTAGGTTCACACCTAAGCGTTTTCTGCAGCGTTTTGCATAAAAGCACTACAGTCTATTTAACATGATTTTCTATGGGACACGTTCACATCTCCTCGCTTTCACCCGCTGTGTTTTTTGGAAAGGGTCAGGGACTTTTTAAAATGCCAAAAATTGCGTTTTTGGTTCTATAGACTTCAATGGAAACGCTGCAGAAAAGCATGTAGTGGGTTTTTGATGTGTTTTGCATTTTAAATCTGCCTAGCAACAAGAATCCCCCCCCCCACTTAGCCTCTGTGCTGCCCATTTACACAGCACTTTACATATATATATATATATATATATATAAATATATATATTTGTACAGAACAATAATAGAGGTGAAATCTTCTAATGGGGATATTAGTACTGGTGATCTTGGTGGCACACCAAGATTCCCTGACTTTGGAGGGATTTTCGCCCACTTCCTGTTTTGTCTATGGGACAGGAAGTGAAGAGAAATCTCCCCAATGGGACACAGATGACCCAAAATGATAATGCTACTGTCCAAAGGTGTCTGCTTTGCTACTTGATCCAGAATGCAGACATCTTACTGATAGGATCACTAGGTAAAAAAAAAAAAAAAAAAAAGAAAATGAATGCAGTCACCTCATCTAATGATTAGTTTGCTGCAATATTATTATTATTCTTCAGGATTTATATAGCGCCAACAGTTTTCTCAGCGCTTTACAATATAAAGGGAGACAAAACAGCAATGATACAGTTCAATACAAGAGGGTTAGGAGGGCCCTGCTCCTTGGAGCTTACAATCTAAGACAATTTTGGGTTTAGGGCCAGTTCACACTATATGCATTTCACACTACTTTTTTTCTGCATCCAAAATGCACAGAAAGTAGGTTATATGGTTTTCAATGTCATAGTTCACATTAGTGCTTGCAGTTCCAGTGCGTTTCAGTCACAGAAAAAATGTAGACCATTTGCATTTTTTTTCTGGACAGAACTGTACTGGAACGCAGTAAAACGCATCAAAAATGCGCTAGAATGCACATGTTCCTATATAGATTGAAGAAAAAGAGGGGAAAAAATTAACTGAAATGCATAAAAAGCACACTGGAACGCGTCAAAAAAGTACCCATAACGTATCAGAACGTGCATCTGGAACGCATCTGTACTGCGTTTTTATAGTGTGAACCGGCCCTTAATGTCACTTTAAGCAGATGTAGGGATGGCCCTAGGGAAAGCAAGACCACAAGAAAAGGCAATGGTAGCCTGCATTCATATTTTAATGTTCTTTTCTGGCTGTTGCCTCCTTCACTAGTAGGTACTAAAACATGGCTAAAAAGAATAGAGCTGCTGTTTCCATTTACGAGAAGATGACTCTGCTTGCCATCACTGCACCAATAGTAATGACTCTACCACTGCACTGATACACGTTGACATACTCACCATCGCTGAAACTTTTACACAAGTACTGAAATTTGGCCTCTTCTAGACGAATTTCTGCACATACAGTATGTGCCGCTGTCTGTTCAACAGAAACTGGTTTTGTTGAAAATCAGCATTTGATCAGTGCTTATAAACAACCCTGATTGCCACCACTGCATCGACCACATGACCCCTCTTACCACCACTGCACCAACAGGAAGAAGTCTGTCTGTCACTGCACTGACATGCAAATCTTCCTTGCCACAACTGCAGTGACATACACCGTGCCATTTCCTGCTACTGTACCCTGCACTGACACACACAGACCCCTGAGTAGACAGATGACTGAAGATCAGTGATTGTTCATATTGTTGGAGTTCCAGTTCTTAGCCCCTGAAACTCTTGGGTAATCCTTTGTTTCTTGCAGTACTAGCCAGCATACTGAACACTTTTTTTATTTTTCCCTTGACACCCCTATTTGTGACATTGGATTTAGGGAGGCTTTCTTTTTTTAAATGAAGGTCTTGCTAAATAAAGGTTACTGCAGACTAATGGTTAATACCTTTCCTGCTCCCTTACTGCAGATCCTTGTTGCCAACAGACAGGATTTCTGGGTGCCTGGTCGCCACTGAGCACATTGTGCTTCCTTTCTTAACCACTTGCCCTCCAGAGGATTTACCCCCCTCCTGACCAGGCCATTTTTCATGATACAGCGCTGCGTTATTTTAACTGGCAATTGCGCAGTCATGCAACACTGCACCCAAATTAAATTTGTGTCCTTTTTTTCCCCACAAATGGAGCTTTCTTTCGGTGGCATTTGATCGCCTCTGCGTTTTTTATTTTTTTGCGTTATAAGCAATAATATGTTTGACTTTTTGCTATTAAACAATTCCAGTATAAAAAAAATGTAAAAATCAAATTTCATCATAAATGTAGGCCAAATGTATTTGCTAGAAAAAAAATCCCAATATGTGTAAATTAATTGGATTACAAGAAAGTTATAGTGTCTACAAATGGCGGTGTACTGTACTAATTGCACTGGGCAGGAAGGGGTTAACATCTGGGGCGATCAAAGTGTTAACTGTGTGCTGTTTTGCTGTGTGTGCGCTTTACTGTGTCAGCACATTGCTTTGGTACTGCTCTGCTATGCAGAGCAATAGGAAGTAATGTGCAGGAGCTGACAGGGGAGAGATATGTATTGTTTAGCCCCCCACCGTCAGTGATACTTATGCAGGCCATAGATGGGGAGAAAACCGGCCGATTTTTCTTTTAAAAAAACCCGAAAAATCGGTCGTTCAAGAGGCCGACGTTACCAGGAATGGTAAAAAAATCGGCCGATTTTCATCCCGTCTACAGCCGGCAAAAAGTGTCCCTGCAGAGAGCTCCGCTATTTCTTTGACAGTGCTTTGACATTTATAGCGGTTGCAACAATGTATCTATTTGTATCCATTTCGGATACAGATGGTTTTATTCGGAAACAAATAGATACATTGTTGCAACCTGCTATAAATGTTCAAAGCACTGTCAAAAGAAATCTGCGGAGCTCTCTGCAGGGACACTTTTTGCCGGACTGGGATTCTTCTTCCTCTTCTTTCTCTTCCTCCATCGTTTCTTCCTCTTCTTTCTCTTCCCTCTACTTTCTCTTCCTCTTCTTTCCTCTTCCACTTCTTCTCTTAGGCTTTCTCTCGATTCCTCTTCTTTCTCTTCCTCTTCTTTCTCTTCCTCTTCTTTTTTTCCTCCTCTTCTTTCTCTTCTTCTTCATCCTCTTCTTCTTCATCCTCTTTCTTCTTCATGCTCTTCTTCTTCATGCTCTTCTTCTTCATGCTCTTCTTCTTCTTCATCCTCTTCTTACTTCTTCATCCTCTTTTTCTGGAGAGGAGGTAGGACATCCTTCTTTCTTACTTCCTCTCTTCATCCTCTTCTTCATCATCCTCTTCTTCATCATCCTCTTCTTCATCATCCTCTTCTTCTTCATCCTCTTCTTCAAGCCTCTTCTTCTTCGGCGACTTCTTCTTCTCGATCCTCTTCTTCATCCTCTTCTTCTTCCTCCTCTTGCCTCTTCTTCATCCTCTTCTTCTTCCCCCCTCTTCTTCTTCTTTTTTACCCCCCTGTCATCTTCCTCTTCCCCCTCTTCCTCTTCCCCCTCTTCTTCTTCTTCCCCCTCTTCTTCTTCTTCCCCCTCTTCTTCTGTCTTCTTCCCCCTCTCTTCTTCTTCTTCCCCCTCTTCTTCTTCTTCCCCCTCTTCTTTCTTCTTCCCCCTCTTCTTCTTCTTCCCCCTCTTTCTTCTTCTTCCCCCTCTTCTTTCTTCTTCCCCCCTCTTCTTCTTCTTCCCCCTCTTCTTCTTCTTCCCCCTCTTCTTCTTCTTCTTCTTTCTTCCCCTCTTCTTCTTCTTCCCCCTCTTCTTCTTCTTCCCCCTCTTCTTCTTCTTCCCCCTCCTTCTTCTTCTTCCCCTCTTTCTTTCTTCCCCCTCTTCTTCTTCCCCCTCTTCTTCTTCTTCCCCCTCTTCTTCTTCTTCCCGCCTCTTCTTCTTCTTCCCCGCTCCTTCTTCTTCTTCCCCCTCTTCTTCTTCTTTCCCCCTCTTCTTC